CTGCCCGGCTGAGGTTTTTAAACGGCGTCCGCCTCCGGGAGTTTCGGAAGCGTTTTGAAGTCAAAGCGAAGGATTTGGTCTCTGGAAGAGCAGGGGGAGGCTGGGGGCTGCCCGGGAAATGCGTTTTCACGGTGGACTGAAAGCTCCTTCGAGTACTCACGTAGAGGAGGTAAGAGAAGGACGAGGGTGTTTCTTTCTTGCAGCCGAAAGGAAAGAAGGCGAAGGGCAAGAAGGTGGCACCAGCCCCTGCTGTAGTCAAGAAGCAGGAGACCAAGAAGGTTGTCAATCCCCTCTTTGAGAAGAGGCCCAAGAACTTTGGCATTGGTGAGTACGTGGGTGTTTAAGCTACTGAAGGTCTTTTTGTTTTCTGGACAGATGTCTAAATCATGGACAGAAGTGTACAGTAATGGAGTGGTAGAGTGGAGAGAGTGATGAAGGCGGTTGCTTTGCTGCCTACAATTAAGAGCTGTGCTTCATTAGGTATATGAAGGTGCCTGTGGACAATTGGCTGAATTTTCTGTGTTACGTAGATTCGTTATGTGATTCTGTTGTGATGAATCTTGCCGCTTTGCACATGGTGTGGCAGATCAGACTTCCGTAGTGCTGTTTTTGTACGATGTGCAGATGATGTGAAAGAATATTTGCTATCTGAGTGATAGTGCTGACATATCACCACCAAGATCACTGATGCACTCGGGCTAGTCCACGCTGGTGCTGCATGGGTCTGGAACAGCTTTGAGTTAAAGTCTGTATTTTTAGGACAGGATATCCAGCCGAAGCGTGATCTCACACGGTTTGTGAAATGGCCACGCTACATCAGACTGCAGCGCCAGAGGTCCATTCTTTACAAACGCTTGAAGGTGCCTCCTGCCATTAACCAGTTCACTCAGGCTCTGGACCGCCAGACAGGTAAGGATGCGCCCCACAGAGTTCTTGTGAGTTGGGCCCTTGATGGGATTTGCCTCAGAAGGGGAAAGAAACTAAGTAAGACTTAAGGTAAGCTAGAGGCTATCTTTGGAAGCATTTTAGGGAGGCTTTAATAGTGACTGGGGTGATGGCAACAGCAAGCTCCTGTCTGAATGGCTTAAGTCTTGATAGCTGCTACATAGTTTGAAAAGGGAATAGAAAGTACCAAATCTCCTACTTAATGACCCAAACCGAGAGTTACCTTAATGGTATGCTGCCTTTGCAGTCTGTTCTTCCCCCCTGCCAGCAGAGGTGCGCGTAGAGGTAAATACGGGCTCTAGAGGCACTCTGCCCTTGCACTGTGCAAATGATGCTAACTTTTTGCTGTCTAAATATACTTGATGACAACCACCAAGATCGCTGATGCACTTCAGTATTTTGAAAAGTAATGCTTAGATTTTCAGGTTATGCCACTAACTAGTAGATGTTCTCTTTCAGCTACGCAGCTTCTGAAGCTGGCACACAAATACAGGCCAGAAAACAAGCAAGAGAAGAAGCAGAGGCTACTGGCTCGTGCTGAGCAGAAAGCTGCCGGGAAGGGAGATGCTCCGACTAAGCGGCCACCGGTCCTCCGAGCAGGTAACTTTGTGTGTGGACACGGCTGCTTTCACGTATGGGAGCGTGGTATTTAGTTAGGAGACTGATGAGAAGGGTTGGTGCTTCGCTCCAACTAAGCAGGACAAGCTATTGCAATGATGTATGAATTTCTTCACCTGAGCTCAAAGTGAAGAGCAAAATAGACGAGCTTTTTAACCCTGAGCTTTAGCAAATTGTCCATGGAATACCTTCCCCGTGTTACTGAACAGGTGTGGGAAGTTTTCATAACCTTCGTAATAAGGCTGTGCTGTGGAATCTGAGCGGCTGTATGGAGGTTATAAGAAAGCTCTGAAAATAGGCCGAGTGGAATCAAAGCTTACCTGTAACTTGTTTTTTAGGTATTAACAGTGTCACAACTCTGGTAGAGAACAAGAAAGCTCAGCTCGTAGTTATTGCCCATGATGTGGACCCCATTGAGGTAAGCATACTCGCTGGCGCATGTTACAGGCTGCCTGTGTAACGTAAGCTGAGGTCAGAATGGGACTTGGGGTGAAAATGCATTCTAGAACAAATTTGTTGCATGAAGAGAGAACGCATAAAAAGATGTATTTGTCAGAACTGGAGTACTTATGCATGTTCGTAGTTGTTCTGGTATTACAGTGAGGCTGGGCCCTTGCAATGATGTATGAATTTCTTCACCTGACTCAACAGTGAAGAACAAAACGAGCTTTTTAACACTGAGCAATTGCCACAGCCCAGGCTGATGCAAAGAATAAAAATATGTTCTCTCTCAGTTACACAGCACGCTCCCTTTCCTTTCAGCTGGTGGTCTTCTTGCCAGCTCTGTGCCGCAAGATGGGAGTGCCGTACTGCATCATCAAGAGCAAAGCCAGGCTGGGGCGTCTGGTCCACAGGAAGACTTGTACTTCTGTTGCTTTCACCCAAGTGAACCCGTAAGTATCGTGTGTGCTGACTTGATTCGCTTTAGTGGAGAAAGCAAACTTCCCATGAGCACAGACGGTAGGGCAGATGGAGAGCAAACTGGGGTCTCTAGTTTGAAGTAGTAAAACTAAATAAAATACTGCCTCTATAATGTGCAATATCAGTGTGTTTTGGTATGAAGAGCTCTGTCAGATCCTGAAGATGCAGATTATTTCAGTTTACCAAAATGGATGGCTACTCCAAAATATGTGGCTGGAGCTGTGAACCTTAATCTGAGCAGTGCAAGTTCCTAAAGCACTGATGGTTGGAGTGGTTAACCCTTTGCAGTGATGCTTATGCTCAACCTGAAACATCACATTGCTACTATGAGCTCTTAAATCCTGAGGCGAAAGATTTATGAAAAATGCTAAATTGAGGCTGTAACGGAACTAAAACTATTGCCAACAGGGAGGATAAGGGAGCCCTTGCAAAGCTGGTGGAGGCTGTCAAGACCAACTACAATGACAGATACGATGAGGTAAGATTCTTTGTACTGCTAGCCTTGTCTTTTAGTTTATAGTGTAAATGTCCCCAAAAGGTTCCCAGTAAAATGCAACTTGTTTCAGACATAGTGACATCAGCCTGAAGCTTCTTGGGTGTGTTGTACCTAGCTATCTTTATTTGAGGGTGGGGTACAATGTGAATGCTGTCACCAAGTTCCAAGTGAATGGGGCCATCGCAGGGCTAGGGCTGTAGAGAGGGCAGCAGCTTCTGCTCGGCTCAGCTCCATCCCCCACGTCCAGAAGCTATATGATGGCTGAATCCAGCACCATTCATGGGGAAAGATTTTAAACTCTTGTATCTCTGCGCTGCCCTGAAATGTAGCTCACTGCTTGAAATGTGCAGGACTTCCTCGGTGAGGGAGTGCTTGTGCAGAAAGGAGTGTAGTGGAGCAAGCTGACTGAATGACGTAGTAAGGGATTGTATGAGGCATCTAACCTGTTCTCACTTCTTTGCAGATCCGTCGTCACTGGGGTGGTAACGTCTTGGGTCCAAAATCAGTGGCTCGCATTGCTAAGCTTGAAAAAGCAAAGGCTAAAGAACTGGCTACTAAGCTGGGCTAAAGATGTACTGGATTGCTACCGTGTTTCTGTACATAAAAAGAATAAATCCCCAGCTTAAGTTTCAGTGGTCTCTGTTAATGGGAGTGTGCCGGGCAGTGGGTAGCACAATAGCATTGCCTTGCTTGCCTTCCAGTGAATGATTGAACAGTGCTGCACAGAAACAGCTCCATAGAGCAGGTTATTACTTGGAACAACTGCCCGTAACTACTCATCCGATGTAGTAATTCGTGTCCTTCAAACATGCAGCCCATCAGCAGCTCAGCTGCCTATGCTGTGGGATCATAAACTTGAATGGGCTAGGCTAGTTCTGGCTTTAAGCCTAGCTTATGCAGATACCTCTCAACTGGAAATGGCTCCAGCCCATCTCCATTAGTACTTCAGACTTGGTTGCAGTGTGGGTTATACAGGGTGTTCCAGCACTTTACCAGGCTGACCAGGTGGGGACCTCCTGTAGGGTGTCTTCAGGGCAAGAAGGGTCAGCAAAGGCTGGCTGAAGTGCGGGAGAATCTAGCCCTTCTTGTTCTCCTGTTCCTGCTTGACTGCTCACTTGGTCTTGTGGTGTTGTGGGAGGCCACCAAGCTTGGTAAGGCTCCAGCTGATGTAGCTGCTTGTTATTTTTGCTACACTTCATCATGCTCTTGC